CACATTTTATATTTACCAAATACAATATGCTTCAGGCATATAAAATGTCATCACCTTTGAATAAACTTTTCTTACTATCTACACACATTGGGTTACTAGAGTTTTTCTCATTTATTAACACGTACTTTTTATATTTTATTAAATTAATCCTAAAACATTAACGAAATTATAGCTAGTTGTTGGACAAATATTATCTATAAGTTTAACATGATATCTTAGTCAAGTTCAAGTTCAAATCTCTATATTTTAATTAGTAAAATAATAAATCAAAGTTTTATGCCACGACTTATTGGACTAATATATATGTAAAGCCATTACGTAAGGCTTAAACTTTTAGGTCACGTGATAATTTAACGAAGAAATTACTAACTGTTGTATTATTATAAGCACTCATCTCGTTCCAAAGAGTCATTTCATAAGTAAGCCAGAGGCCCAATTGTTGAGTTCAAGTCTACGAATTCATGGCCCATTGTGGACTCCCTAAGGGCCCAAATATGGTCCCTTAGAGTGAGCGAGAGGACCCGAGTGTTGTACATGATTATATTGTGGAGATATGAGAAGGGACAAATATCTATCTTACCGCACTTGACATTACTTTGACCTTTTGAATTCGTTCATCCAATCATTTTCACATTAACAGTGAGGTTGGGCATAAAAATAAGTTCCATCTGTCAAAATCAGCGTTTTTAAAAACTATTTCACAAAGTTATTGGTAGTAAAGTAGCTTTCGGATGCCTAATTAGGCTGGATGCTCAAGGAAAATCTTTCAAGCTCATATTAGTTAGCAGAATTTAACAAAACAGAAAAACAATTTTATATATAATATATATATGATATATATTATATATATATATATATATTATATATATAGTAATTATGAACTTTATCATATGGATTTGGTTTTTGTTATTTTTCTCTATGTTAATTAATGGAAAAATCTTGTTACTCTACAAGTTAATTAAGTTTTAAACTTATAATTGCTTCCAATAATATCAATTGGCATGCATGAAAATGATGTAAATAAATGGGGCTTGCTGCGGCTGGAGCGAGGGGCACGACGGTCAAGTGAGGTGGCGGTGAGTGGGAGGGGTGGGTGCGGAAAGTGGTCGCAATCAGGTATGGATTTTAATTTTGTGACTTGATTTTGACATGACGGTTGAACGCGGTTCACTATTGTCCTTAGTCTAACTAAGTGCTAACTGGATAACTAAACTGGATTAATGCTAAAAGGTTTTCAAGTTTCATCGACCCGAGAAGTCCCATTCCCATCCGACCGGATGATCGGTCGCCGGACCTAATTTTAAACAGTGATAATAATACTAAGTTAATTAAATTAACATTGATATTATATACAATTCATGTCTGTGAAATTTCATACTGTAAAACCGCAGAAGCAGTGTCATTCAAATTAATGAAAAAAAGGCAACTTTTAACTCCTTTTACTTAAACAACCCCTTTTAACTTTTATCTCTCCTTTACACTAAAGTTTACACTATAATACCCAGTGTTCGACGGTTTTTTTGGTAATTTCTTACTTGTTCATCTTGCTAATTCAGCCTATCAACTATACCAATGCCTAACCCAGATTTTGCCTCTACACACAAACACTACCAGAAATTCAACCATCTCCGCGGCTTTTGTGCGACACAAAGCAAATTTTGCCTCTACACAAACACTACCAGAAATGTTCAAGAATATATAAACATACATGATTTTTTTATTGATTTAGGTCATGAATCATTAAAACTGCAACGAGAACAACATCTTGAATATGCCCAACATAATTTCTGAATATATAATTTCAATATTAAGCATGATTACTTTGTAATTTTGAAATTATAATTAAACAAAGGCATGCCCAATTTTAAATTTTACACATACAAATCTTCCATCATCCATTGAGGCGAACCTCCATTAACCCTGGACTTAACCTAACCATCAAAATACAAAACTCCATTTGATTAAGCGCTCCATCTCCATCAAGATCACCTTCACTCAACATGCACACAATCTCATCATCCATCATGTCGTTAAACCCAGAAGATGACTGTTCCTCTTCAAGCTTCGAACGTAATCAAACCCTTCTCACAATCCATCAACAAACGAAACCCTTTTGCACAGCTCGCAGATAAACCCTTCTGTTCCTAGTCGCGTTATCATCGATGAAGAAGTCCTCGAAATCGGCTACTTCATCTAATAAAAACCCATCTCGTCAAATAATAACTCTTAATATGCAGAACAGTTGAAGAGTTAAAATTGAATGTTAAGCTATATACGTGAATAGAGATGTGAATTTGTGATGCGAGGAGAGAGGAGAGGGGGTTTATATAAAGTGAATTTATTTGAAGGAAAGCAGGGATCTTCGCGAAGATCAGTGAAGTTGAAGCTAGAAGTAAAAAAAAAAAAAAAAATGAATATTGGGTTTTTGTGGTGAGTTTCTTGCAACCTTTCATTCATGAAGGCCTTCTCCTTCCTGGAAGCTGCATGCAATATATTAAGATTCGAGGGATCTTTACACAGTGTAATTATATATAATTAACAATTGTTAATTACATATGGTTACTGGTACACCTTAAGTAGAATGATGTACAACAATTTGTAATTATTATCCCTCCTAAATTCTATTCATATATGTTAATCATCTTTTTATGTCTGCCTAATATAGTTAAGTTTGGTTGTTTAAAAATACCTATATATATGATAAGATTTTATTGACTAAATGTATTAATAATAAGGTAAAGTAAACCATCAATAAGGGCCCAACCGTAACAGGATTTTTGGAGTGTATTACTAAGATGTCTTACTTCGACCCACTGAGGGTTGTATAGGGGGATACACTGAGGGGTTTTACTGACCATCAACTTAGGCCCTAAGAATTAGTTGAGATGTGTGCAAACAAACCAAACACTCCCGATCACCAAAAAAATAATAAATAAACAAATAAAAATAAGTTAATTAGTTTGTAACTTAGATGATTGCTAACCACATGATTAAAGGCATTTGGAATATGGGTTAAAATCTTGAGTTCTATAGTAGTAATAGTCCAAATTTACAAGAATAGTTCATATAAAATTTTAAATGAACTATTTCTTTAAATTTTAAATGGTTGTTTATATATAAAATTGAAATAGATAAGAAATAGTTCAATTATATTTATGAAATATGACTTAAAATACATGGAATTCGAAACTTTCTACTGTAACACTTTAATTTTAAACTATATTAATTTATTTTCTTTGACCAGAGTTTTCGGGTTAGCTTGTGTGCACCTCAGCTAATCTCCTGAAATCCCAAATTAACATCAAATATCTCTCTCTTAATATATGTAATAAGACAATCATTTAACAATTGATCTCTCATTCGATTCCGTAGTCGATTTTTCACAATCTTCATCGCAAAAAATGCTCTTTACAGTTGCAACAAGTAATATTAATGCTACTTTCATGTATAAAAAGATAACAACACAAACAAAAACACTCTCATTTTCTACACTATACTCCAACCAATTTGCATATTCTCTAAACCAAACAGGATTAAAACGACCCATTAAATTCCCAATTGCTCGTTTTTTTTAAAATATGATTGTGTGGTTGACTAAGTCTTTTTTGCAAGTATGTCTTTCTCACTTTGTCTCTATCAATAAGATGATATTCTAAAATTTTAATCCTCAATCCAAGATCTGCAGGAAAACTATTCAAGTTAAGTTTAACATATGTTTGTCTTGAACTAGATTTCATAGGCTCATTGTGAACACTATCGTGACGCCTTACGTTTTGTTCAATTGATGGTCTCTCATTAGAAAACTTACTTTTAATAAAAAACTTGTCCATGACTAAAAAAATAAAAGAATTTTTATTATCAGAAATATAATTTATTTGAAATTACAATTAAAAAACAATACAAATTTATCAAAATTCAACTCACAACGTAGGTTTTTCGAACAATTTCTACTAACCCAATAAAAGTCAACTCATAAATCCATAAAAACTCATCGAATCCACCTTTAAATATCAAGCAATTAACCAAAATATCCAAATTAAACCAAATTCCCAAATCTCTATAACTTAAGGTTTAATCAATTCTTTAATCCATAATCAGAATTAACTCAATAACTAACCACAATTTATTAAACCCAACTTAAAACAGCAATTAATTGACTCATACCTCAACATAAACAAGATTAAATCAAAACCCACATCAAAATCTAAGAATTATTTCGAACTCATTTATTAAACTCAATAAAAACCCGTAACTCATGATCTTTCATCAATTAAGAAAGCTAAAAGAAAAGAATTGATTTTAAGTAAAAAATAAAAATAAAAATAAAATTAGTATCATCTTACCTTATAATCCAAAGGAGTAACCTTTCTGAGTATCAAACTAAAAGAAAAATATAATAAAAGAGCAAAACAAAGAAATAAAAAGAAAAGATTTAAAAAATATTAATTAATAATTTATTTTATGAGATCAACATAAAATTAAGTAGGATTAAAATTATAAAATCTATATACCATTAATACGTTTTTGTAAAATTCGGTGGTTCCCGCATGCCCCTATGTGGCTATGTGCCTGCTTCAAGACAATGCACAATGCTTCCTAGCCGGGTAGAGACACAAGACGATAAAGACACAAGACAAGCCCACACATTATAATAACCAAGCCATGAATGGTCATCATAAAATAATACTACACCAACTTTTTTTCATAAACTTGTTTTCACATCTTAATGCGATAGTTTACCATTGATCAATTTATATTGGATCCCACATAAGTTTTATATGGATCTCACTAATTAATTACAAGCAATCCAATTATAAGCTTTCACGTAAGATCGTGAAATAAAGTTGGTAAGAAATAGTTGTTGATCTACTAATACTCAATTTTGTAACGTGAAATGGACCTCCTCCTCTCTCCTCTCCTATTCCTCCCCCCAAATCTTTTCTTCCAAAATGCAAACCCATTTCATGTTCATTTTCATCATCGTATTCTTCAGTTTCAGGTTTTAACAGACTTAAAATCAAGATTCAAATTACATCCTCGAAGACATACATTAACAAACGACAGGAAATACGTGCACAATAAGTACACATGTACTATTTCAAGGAACCAATACGATGGCAACAATTTTTTTTTTTTTTTTTTTAATAATTCACAAGAAAGATTAAATAGGCCCCTTTGATCTAAACAAAGTTAACTAAGGCTAAGGAGTATTAACTTTGGTTAGTGATAATTAAAGAACAAAGCTACCTCATAATGTAAGGTTAGTGGAAGAGAAATTAACGGTTCTCGTCTTTGCTGAGTTCAACAGTGGAAGGGAGATCAACGGTTCTTATCTCTGCTCAGTTGATAGATCCCAAGAATTGTGGCGGAGGCGTCACCGTCGTTTGTAATCATCTGTTTTTGGAGTCTCTGCAGAGAGCTAATAACAGTCCTTGATCTTGAGTCTGCTTGACCACGATCTTCCTCAGCTGTTGTTCTTGCTTGTTTCAACGGTCTAAATGTGCTCAAAGAAGAGTTCGCTTCCTCGTTAGCGGCTGCTCTAGAGCACGGTTGAGAAGTTGAACAACCGATTTCATCCTGCATTTATAAAATTCTCGAGAAAATCATGTCCTGTTTGGTTGCAAAGAAAAATAAAGAAAGCGAAAGAAATTGAAAATATCGAGACTCAGGTAGCAAATGAAAAAAGCTTCCACTAAAGCACTCATTAGCCTCCGCTTCACTAAATTAACAATTAATTTGTTCAGAAAAAACAAAAACAAAAAAAATTTCTATTTTCACTCATTTGATAAAAATCGAAACAGTAGAAACAAAATTTTTGTTTTCAGAATCGCATTCTGCCAGATCCAGAGAAACAGATCACTCATTAAACTAACAATAGAAGAAACAAAGTGAGATTGGAAGAAGCCTTACATCAGAGTAAAAATCACCGCAATCGCGGCCTCGTTTCAATGAAACCTCTTCTTCTTCACTGATACTACTACATGAAGAACTCGCTACAGGAGGAGGAGGATACTGTGAATCACCTGACCACGGAACCACTTGATTTTCATCATCTTCCTCCTCATCAAGATCATCATATTCATCATCATCATCTTCTTCTTCATCATCTTCATCATATTCATCAACATCATCATCATCATCACCGGTGGTTCTTTCGGTCTGATTATTCTCAGGTTTAACAAGTTCAGTATCATGAGCTTCACATTGAGCAGAAGTGACGCACGTGTCGCACACAGAAACCGTCGGGCCGACCTTCGGGCCTGAGGCTTTCCACGGCGTGAGAGACTGACAGACGTGACACAAGAGACTCCTCGAGTGTTTGGCTACAAGAAAATTGGCTCGGTGAACCTTCTCATCGCAGTCCCAGCACAGGTTAGCTTGGTCCGATTCACAGTACATTCTCGCCACACATTCACACAGCTCACACTTTCTCATTCTCTCTCTTTTTCTCCTCCTCTTCTTCTTCTTCTTCTTCCTTTTCTTCTTTGTTTGGCTCTTTCTCTTTCGCAGTTGAAATAGAAAACATACAGAAAGAAATGAATCTGATTACTTGAACTTATTTATTGAAACCAAACAGCCCTGATTTTTCGCATTTAATCAAGTTAATTCCGAGGGTAGACTAGTCATTTCATAGTTGAACGGATTAAAATCTTCTCGGGTTTATCTGGTGTGCAAACAAGTACAATAGCATTGTACAAAATACTTTCAAATAAAATTATATATTTGGAAAAATACTCGGAATTACTTTATAGAAAAATATCTCTTAAGAAAATCGTATTTTAAATATAATTCTGGTATACTTAGTAAAAGATACGTACATAAGTACCCCTTGAAAATAGAAACATTATCAGAATCAATCACCGTACTGCAAGGAATAAATGGCTAGCAAGCACACACTGATTCTTCGTGGCGACTGATTATTCCGTGTTTTTCGTCAGAGTGTGTGATGTCGTGTACACCGGATCTCTACTTAGTCCTTTAATAATGCAATTAATAAAGGGTTCTCTAAAAATGGTGCCACGTGGAGAGTCAGTTATGGACGGAATACGTTGCGTGTGTAGCAGCAATTACTGAGATATTTTCATGGGGATTGGGTGAGGATGTGTCAACTAAACCAAAGGGCACGGCAGATTCTCTAGTCCGTCCTACGTGGACAATTTCAGTCCACAATGGGGTAGAGCCCATGTGACACTCACCCGAACTTTCGATTAAGCCAATAAGCCTCTTACGCGTACGGTGGGTCCCTAATCCCACGCTTACCCATGCGGCCATGCCTTCGCCAATGCTCTATGGCTTGGCTTTCCCTTCTTTTTAAGAAAAAGTTTATTGTTTATTTTTGTTTTTATTAAAAATAATTCTGTTATTGTCATTTTTATCCACAATTTTGATTATTTTTCCATCTAAGGTGATGGCATAGGATATGGTATTATAAAATAAAAAATTTAAGTAAATTATTGAAAACGTAATTTTAGTAATTACGTGATGATATTAATTTTCTAAATATTCACTTTGAAGTACTACAATTAAAGACTAAAATACATGACACTTTGCCCACCAAACAAAAATTTCTTCCTTATGAATCTTATATACCACTATTATTTGTTTATAATAACAAAAATCACTTAAAAATAAAAAATAAAAATTTATATCAAGATATATACCATTACTCTGTTACAATAATTTTTTTAACTATTTATTCAATGCAAGTAACACTAGAAATACCTCAATAATGTTATTCTAAATTATATAGAATAGAAAAAATAGGTAGTCATTGTTTACACCTCCATGTCATTATGTCATAATTCAACCTCAAATATGATGTATTATTGCCTTTCTAGTTATATAGTTTCAAATAAGGTGATATTGTTCAATTTGAACTTGTACTACTTAACGAGAAGATACATTTACCTACCAAAAATCGATTTTTTTCTCTTTATTTTGATCTCATTAATCACTAATCTTGTTTCTTAACAATGAAGTGAATATAAATTTATTTGATCTTTTAAATATTCGTTGAATACGGATAATGTTACACGTAAAAGGTAATTTTTTTTTTTTAAATTTTCATTCTAAAAAATGTAACTTATATATAGTAGTAACATTTAATGATAAGTTATAAAAGTGACACAAACATTATTAACAAAACTATGTAATATATATAATGCGAGTATTGATTGATATTAAAATATGAAATAAATCGAAGACAATCAAGCAGTTGTCTTTCCTATTAAACAATAATTTTATTTTTGGGAATAATATTCTAATGAATAACTTTAACGTAACGTTATCCACATAAAAAAAACAAGTACAATATAAAAAAAAAAAAAAAAAGGCATGAACAGGATGGGCCCCGAAAAACGTTGGGCAGAAAGAGATTCGATGGAGCTGGTTTGTGGTGGTGGTTCACCCATGACCAATTTGAAATTATATATTGTTCCTCTTCATAATTGAGTTAAGCAGAAGCCCTAGTGGCCCGGGGACGGGGTGGGGGATGGGAGGGTGAGGTGGCAGAAGCCCACGTGAAGAGATCCGAGGTGGCAAGCAGTGGTACGAGGGAAACAGGAGCCACCAATTGTGAGAATAAGTGAGGAGAGAGAGGGGAGTGTTGTGAGGAGGAAGAAGATATAAGGTTCTTGTATGAAGACTGAGAGGACAGACAGCTACAGCGTGTTTTAAAATAAATGTTAATGAACGAAAGACGGAATGAGTATCGAGTTGGGGGACTGAGAGAAAAGTGACGTGTAGAGTGATGTGATGAGTAATGTGAATTGTGAGGTCCACAATTTGGCTTTGGCTTAGGCCAGTGCTACCGGCTATCAGTATGTCGTTTTGTCGCCTTCCTTGTTGCGGTTTGGACTAGTGTTAGACACTGTTAGTAAAAGGGTCGTACTTTGATAGCGAGCAAACATTTTCTAGTTTCAACTATTGGATTTTGATGACCATATAAATAATGAGTCCAAATTCAAGGGATCGCAGAGGAATTTTTATTTATTTTATTTTAAATTTTATATGAATGGAATACTATATTATCATTCTATTAGTTCAAGAATATTCAAGCCTTGCATGGTTTGTCTTTCATACAGTTTTATTTAAAAATACGTTTTTAGTAATGACAGTGTCTTTGTGTTAATAAGAGATTAAGACTCTCATCTCTTAACTGATATAAGATTTTGGTGCGGCACGCGCACACACACACATGCACACGCAGACACGTGCGCTGTGCAGACACTCAGACCTATACGCGCGCGCGCGCGCGCACACACAACACACATATATATATATATATATATATTATATATTTATATATATATATATATATATATAATAATAATTATATATATATAATATATATAAATTATATATATATATATATATATACGTTTTAGAGCTTAGTATAATTTCTCCCCCACATTTCAATATTTTGGCGCGTGCGCACACATACTTACAATAGAAAATTGCTAAACTCTTGTAATTATTATAAGCACTCATCTCGTTCTAAAGAGTCATTTCATAAGTAAGCCAGAGGCCCAATTTAGTTGAGTTCAAGTCTACGAATTCATGGCCCATTGTGGAACTCCCTAAGGGTCCCTTAGAGTGAGCGAGAGGACCCGAGTGTTGTACATGATATAATATTTGTTGGAGATATGAGAAAGGGACAAAATATTCTATCTTACCGCACTTGACATTACTTTGACCTTTTGAATTCGTTCATCCAAATCATTTTCACATTAATAGGCGAGTTTGGTGTATAAAAAATAAGTTCCATCTGTCAAAATCAGCGTTTTTAAAAACTATTTCACAAAGTTAATTGGTAGGTAAAAGTAGCTTTCCGATGCCTAATAAGGCTATGATGCTCAAGGAAAATCTTTCAAAGCTCATAATTAGTTAGCAGAAATTAACTTAACAACACAGAAAAGACTAATTATATATATGAACGTTTATCATATGGATGTGGTTTTGTTATTTTTCTCAGATTATTTATCTAATTAATTAATGCGAAAAATCTATGTTACTCTGCAAGTTAATTTAAGTTTTAAACTTATAATTGCTTCCAATAATATCAATTGCATGCATGCAAAATGATGTAAATAAATGGGGCTTGCTGCGGCTGGAGCGAGGGGCACGACGGTCAAGTGAGGGTGGGCGGTGAGTGGGAGGGGGTAGGGGGTGCCGAAAAGTGGTCCGCAATCAGGTAATGGATTTTAATTTTGTGACTTGATTTTGACACCTGACTGGTTGAATCTGCGGTTCACTATTGTTTCCTTAGTCTAACTAAAGGCTAAACTGGATTAAATGCTAAACTGGATTAAATGCTAAAAGGGTTTTCAAGTTTCATCGACCCAAAGAAGGCCCCAATTCCCAGTCCGACCGGTTGAATCGGCCAGCCGGACCTAATTTTAAAACAGTGATAATAATACATAAGTTAATTAAATTAACATTGATATTATATACAATTCATGGTCTGTGAAATTTCATACTGTAAAACCGCAGAAGCAGTGTCATTCAAATTAATGGAAAAAAGGCAACTTTTAACTCTCTTTTTACTTAAAACAATCCCTTTTAACTTTTATCTCTCCTTTTACACTAAAGTGTTACACTATAATACGCAGTGTTCAGACGGTTTTCTTTGGTAATTTCTATACTTGTTCATCTTGCTAATTCAGCCTATCAACTATAACAATGCCTAACCCAGATTTTGCCTCTACACAAAACACTACCAGAAATTCAACCATCTCCGACGAGCTTTTGTGCGACACAAAGCAAATTTTGCCTCTACACAAACACTACCAGAAATGATTCAAGAATATATACAAACATGCATGAATTTTTTATTGATTTAGGTCATGAATCATTAAAAGCTGCAACGAGAACAACATCTTGAATATGCCCAACATAATTTCTGAATATATAATTTCAATATTAAAAGCATTGATTACTTTGTAATTTTGAAATTATAATTAAACAAAGGCATGCCCAATTTTTAAATTTTACACATACAAATCTTCCATCATCCATTGAGGCGAACCTTCCATTAACCCTGGACTTAACCTAACCATCAAAATACAAAACTCCATTTGATTAAGCGCTCCATCTCCATCAAGATCACCTTCACTCAACATGCACACAATCTCATCATCCATCATGTCGTTTAAACCCAGAAGATAGCTGTTCCTCTTCAAGCTTTCGAACGTAATCAAACCCTTCTCACAATCCATCAACAAACGAAACCCGTTGCACAGCTCGCAGATAAACCCTTCTGTTCCTAGTCGCGTTATCATCGATGGAAAGAAGTCCTCGAAATCGGCTACTTCATCTAATAAAAACGCCATTCTCGTCAAATAATAAACTCTTAATTATGCAGAACAGGTTGAAGAGTTAGAATTGAATGTTAATGGCTATATACGTGAATAGAAGATGTGAATTTGTGATGCGAG